TTAAACTTCCAGGACTTGTTGAGAAAAGACCATAGAACATGTTGTTATGCTTCTTTAAGCTGTGCAAATTCGTTTGTTCTTTTTAGGCTCGTTTAAAAATGAAAAATTTTAACATGGAAAGTCAATGGGAGCGTCTTTGCTGCTTAATAACTTTTTACAGTTGAGATATATTTATGTGAAAAGTTGATAGGTTATACAACTTTTGATGCTCTTTCCAATGATATATACAACTTTATTGCACGTGGTGCCGTTTTTGAGAAATATAGTAAAAAAGCACGACATTACCGAGATTTGAGCTCAGACCTACCGATCAGTAGGTTGCAGTCATTTAGTATGTATTTCCATGTGCCACGATTGGGGTGCAACTGCACGTGCGCACGTGCAGGGTGACGCTTCCAGATCTCGAGAACGGCCGGGCCAATTGTGCTCAGATTTGGCACACCGCTAGAGATCGCGTAGTAGGGTGTCTTGCACAGGTCTGCTGGGCCCCAGGTTGCACGTGCGCACGTGCAGGGTGACGCTTCCAGATCTCAGGAACGGCTGGGCCGATTGCATTCAAATTCGGCACACCTTTAGAGACCGGTTAGTAGGGTGCTGTGCACAAGTCAGTTAGTATGTATACTCATGTGTCTCGGTTGGGGTGCAACTGCACGTGCGCACGTGTAGGGGTCGCTTCCAGATCTTGAAAACGGCTGGGCCGATTGAGCTTAAATTCGGTACACCGCTAGAGACCGGCAACTAGGGTGCCGTCCACAAGTCATTTGGGACCCAGCTTGCACGTGCGCACGTGCAGGGTGAGGCTTTCAGATCTCAGAAACGGCTGGGCTGATTGCATTCAAATTCGGCACACCTTTAGCGGCGTTACAGAGGTGCTTGCTCAAACAACCTGCGGTCCCGCGATGCGGAGCCCAGCATCGCAGATGCTGGTAACCGCAGGTTGTTTGAAAAGACAAACACTATTCGTTAGAATTGTGTTTTTCTATTGAAAAACAACCGGAGCGGTCGTTCTCCGGGCTATGTTTTGCAAGTCTGGCCGCGAATTGGGGCAACTTGGGTCAGGCCTAGACGAAATGTACAATCTTCGTAAAAAGTTCAGTGTATGGGCTCCCGGGGGCCATCTACCTGATGGCTTCGGTCGCTACTCGCTTAAAACCTCGTGGCACGTGGCACGTGCGATTCCATTTTCCCCATGTTAAGTCAATGGGGTTTTGGACACTTTTTGCGCGATCGCGAATAGCGGGAAAACGAGCCAAGGAAGAGGTGGTTTTCTTCCCAGCATTTTATGGCAAACACGTTTGGGTACACGCTAGTGTGCGCCGTATACCCCTCAGAACTTCGTAACGTGACTTTGCACGAGGTCAAAGTTGAACTTTTTTCGCTCCCCATGTTAAGTCAATGGGCATTTTTGCAGAGACTTTTTCATTCGCTCATTGTACAAAATTATATGATACGATTTTGTTTAAACTTCCAGGACTTGTTGAGAAAAGACCATAGAACATGTTGTTATGCTTCTTTAAGCTGTGCAAATTCGTTTGTTCTTTTTAGGCTCGTTTAAAAATGAAAAATTTTAACATGGAAAGTCAATGGGAGCGTCTTTGCTGCTTAATAACTTTTTACAGTTGAGATATATTTATGTGAAAAGTTGATAGGTTATACAACTTTTGATGCTCTTTCCAATGATATATACAACTTTATTGCACGTGGTGCCGTTTTTGAGAAATATAGTAAAAAAGCACGACATTACCGAGATTTGAGCTCAGACCTATATCGTTACGGTGTCAGGCGGACACGAGGACAGGTGGCGCCGCCGCCGCCCGCATAGCGGCGGGAATGTGAACTAACCTGTTTACCATCTATGGTATGGTACCATCGGGGGACCGGCCGCCGTCGGCACCATTTCGGGACTTTGCATCGCAATAAAAGGCTTATTTACAATTGAAAATGGACTAGCGAGAGTCGTTATGGAATCAGAATTTGATGCTCTACAAAACTAGGCTATTTTCATTGTGATGGCATCACAGACTACACCGCTAAACCCAATAAAGCAGATTTATGTCGCGTCATCGATGATTACATATAATGTATCATTCTTTGATATATATGTAGTCGGGTCTTTCAGCTGCGTCCCTCCCCTCCCTCGCCGCGCCGGCGGGTCGGCCATCCGTGGCTTGCCGCCCGCCGGCTGCTGGCCGGTCAGCTGGCCGGTCAGCTGGTCGCCCGCGGCTGTCGGTGCAGTGCGGGATGCCTACTTGCGGGGGGGGGGGGCCGTCGTGGCGGCGGCCCGGGTGGACTGGGCGAGCAGTGAGTTGGGGAGCGCTGCGCTGTCGGTGCTCTAGTTTGTATTGCGTTCGCATGATACGGCTTGAGCCAATACAGAGTGAACTGATTGAGCTGAGCAAGTCTTTACATACATTGAAAAGTAAAGCACTTTTTACTGCATCTACGGTGAGATGCTAGATAAAATTTATGGTCTACCTAATGGTACCCATTACTTAACAATTAAGTGAATCATTTCGTCGCTAAACTCTCGTAAATTCGTATGTCCGCCTCACTATGGAGTTTGGACCGTAACGTATGGCCTTTGCTCAGACAGTATACGAACAGGTGACGGGGATACCTCTAATAGAAGGATGCGACACGATTTTACTGCTAAATAGCGGCCGGCCGCCGTGGGGACGTTTTTGTACGACTTATATCTCGGCAACCACTGGGCTGATACACGTGCGGTTTTTTTGTGTGGGGTAGCTTTTTCCCTTCTTTCACATAGTGTGCTACTCTCGATGCATATGGGTGACCCCTAACGCACGTTCCACGTGCAAAGCCAAGAGGTGCCTGTTTTGTAATAAGCGCAATAGCTCGCGGTAATTACTGGGCCGATTGCGCTAAAACTTGGCATGGAGGTAGACACTTTCCAGGCGATGCATTTCCATGTGTCTTGGTAGGGGTGCAACTGCACGTGCGCACGTGCAGGGTGACGCTTCCAGATCTCGAGAACGGCTGGACCGATTGTGTTCAAATTTGGCATAACGCTTGATACCGATCAGTAGGTTGCAGTCATTTAGTATGTATTTCCATGTGCCACGATTGGGGTGCAACTGCACGTGCGCACGTGCAGGGTGACGCTTCCAGATCTCGAGAACGGCCGGGCCGATTGAGTTCAAATTTGGTACACCGCTAGAGACCGATTAGTAGGGTGCCGTGCGCAAGTCAGTTTGGACCCATCTTGCACGTGCGCACGTGCAGGGTGACGCTTCCAGATTTCAAGAACGGCTGGACCGATTGCACTCAAATTCGGCAAACATCTAGAGATCGATCAGTAGGGTGCCGTGCACAAGTCAGTTAGTATGTATTTCCATGTGTCACGGTTGAGATGCAACTGCACGTGCGCACGTGGAGGGGTCGTTTCAAGATCTTGAAAACGGCTGGGCCGATTGAGCTCGAATTTGGTACACCGCTAGGGACCGGCGAATAGGGTCCCATGCACAATGCAATTGGACACAGCTTGCACGTGCGCACGTGCAGGGTGACGCTTCCAGATCTCGAAAATGGCCGAGCCGATTACACTCAAATTTGGCACACCGCTATAGATCAGCGAGTAGGGTGCCGTGCACGTCAGTTTGTAACACACCGACTCCGGTCTGCACGTGCAAGGCTCATCCTCTCGTTTGGCGGCGGGCGTTTTTGCTGCGTTTACAAAGGTGCTTGCTCAAACAACCTGCGGTCCCGCGATGCGGAGCCCAGCATCGCAGATGCTGTAAGTCATTAATGCAAGATATCACACATGAGAGCCGCAGACATTCACGGTACCGTAACCGCAGGTTGTTTGAAAAGACAAACACTATTCGTTAGAATTGTGTTTTTCTATTGAAAAACAACCGGAGCGGTCCGTCTCCGGGCTATGTTTTGCAAGTCTGGCCGCGAATCAGTACAACTTGGGTGGGGCCTAAACGTGCATTGCGATTTTCGTAAAAAGTTCAGGGTATGGGCTCCCGCAGGCGATCTACCTGATGGCACCGGTCGCTACTCGCTTAAAACCTCGTGGCACGTGGCACGTGCGATTCCATTTTTCCCATAGTAAGTCAATGGGGGTTTGGGACACTTTTTGCGCAATCGCGAATAGCGGGAAAACGAGCCAAGGAAGAGGTGGTTTTCTTCCCAGCATTTTATGGCAAACACGTTTGGGTACACGCCAGTGTACGCCTTATACCCGTCAGAACTCGTTACCCTGAGTTGCACGAGTTTGAAGTTGAACTTTTTTCGCTCCCCATGTTAAGTCAATGGGCGTTTTTGCAGAGGCATTTTCATTCGCTCATTGTACAAAATTATATGATACGATTTTGTTTAAACTTTCAGGACTTGTTGAGAAAAGACCATAGAATATGTTGTTATGCTTCGTTAAGCTGTCAGAATTCGTTTGTTCTTCTTGAGCTCGTTTAAAGAAGAATTTTTTTAACATGCAAAGTCAATGGGAGCGTCTTTGCTGCTTTATAACTTTTTACGTTATAGATATATTTAAGTGAAAAGTTGATAGGTTATACAACTTTTGATGCTCTTTCCAATGATATATAGAACGTTATTGCACGTTGTGCCGTTTTCCAGGTGTTGTCCATCTGAACTTGTCAGTCACGTGACCCATTTGACCTTCGGATCCAATTCTCGTAGTCAATTCTGGCGCTTTTGTTACCATAGCGAATTATGTAACACCGTGTTCACAATTTACTGACGACGAAGGTCCTGCTTAATCTGGCCAATGGCGTTCGAGAACTGCGGCCAAGCCCCGCTGATCTTCAACGTGATTGGTCGGTGGGCGTATAGAATCTCCGTCGTCAGGGAGACTGCGAACACGGGGTAAACCAAGGGGTAAACAATCTGTGCGTGTGGAATGGGGAGTGGTGAATGTGCAGGGGCGATGAAAGGCGCTGATGTCGAGATTTATTTATACTTTTATCCTTATTATACATTCTGATCATTTTTTACGTTCAGGAGTTTTCTCTGTTGATTTAACATAAAAAACGGTGTGTTTTACTGTTATTGCCAAGTGCCATATTGATATTGAAATTGGGGTACAATTCAACATTCACTCAGTTGGGGAAACTACGAGGAGCCAAACAAAAATTGGATTAGCCAATCAGCGGCTGGAGTGGGCGGGGCGATGACCATATATGGTCATAAAATCAGACAACTTCATCTTTTCAATGAATTTTAGCATTCAAATGAAAAGATAAGGCATAAGAATGTTTTTTAACCACGCAAGGCCTACACTCACCCGGTGCATAATTAACTGGCGGCTCTAAATCGCAGAGTTACAACGCAAGGTCAAACCGTGATTGGTCCGTGATTGGCAAATATGGCAGATTGAAACGGACGCGCCAAAAAATGTAAGCAGTACCGTGGTTTAAAAATGTCATTATTTTTATTATTTTGTTTATGGTTTTTTAAATTGTAGTTAAGTTATTATTATAGAATTAAATATTTTTGTTTATTGTAATTAAATTAAATCTTTGAACAATTTTCTTTTATAAAACCAATCCATTTATTGAATGGCCAGCTGATTGCGACGCCCAGAACCTGCAGAAAAGCCGTTTTCCTATCGCCATTTTCGAGTCAATTCGCCAAATTTTATCAAATCACACCAATTGCTAGTGAAAAATGGAAGCCTTTTCTCTCCAATAAGTGGACGCGATACCGCAAGTACCTGCTTGTCATACCGTTTTTCACTCTTAGTAGCGGGGGCTGCATTTATGCCCATATATGGTCATCAAAAGTCCATTTATTGACCAATCCATTTTTTGACGTTCACCTCGTAGTTTCCCCAACTGCACTGGTTTTCTATGGCCTGTTGTGCATCATATTATTGGTAATGTGAATATAGGTACTCCATACACTGCTACTTTTGGGTACATATAAATGTTTGACCTGATTTTAGTTCACTTCACCTTATTTTTTTTTGCAGGAACAGTTATCACACCATTATTGTGCAAAAAATAAGGGTGGTTTAACGCGGCACTCTGTCAGCCACTTTTGGCTTCCATAGACATCAACAAGCCTATACCTCCAACACTACCAGAGGTTGACGTTAGCTCCACGGAATGCGCTGGCAGCTGCTGGCAGCGTGCCCATGAAACACAGCCAGGGGTTTCCTCTGTAAAGTCATTATTGTCTAGGTACATGGGCCTTTAGCAATTGTTAACAGCTATAAAAATTGGAATTAGAAATGTTCAGGTATTATGAGCATCAGCTAAACAGGGAAGCATATTTGGCTACAGCCCATCTTGCAACGCCTCAATGAAATTTAACGAGAAACTTAAATTGAGGGAGCAGCTACATAACTGAGGTAAAGCCCATAAATCCTTGTGGATTTACCTACATACCTGAGGTAAATCCACAAGGCACCTTGAGTTCAAACTATGAAGTGACTCCAAGCGAAATATAGCAGAAATTGGGACTTAAATGAGCTTAGAAATAATCTGCTTAGTTCATTTGAAATGTATTGTTACCCCCTTTCTAACCATGCATATTTTTGTGTCTTGTGAGGTCTCATATAGCAATAAAAATAGAAAAGTTATACAAGAGCAGTGACATGCATAGTTTGCTTGTGTTGTCACAACTTTGTACAATATTTCCAGCTTTATAATATGCAGTTGCATCAGCTAAACAGGGAAGCATATTTGGCTACAGCCCATCTTGCAACGCCTCAATGAAATTTAACGAGAAACTTAAATTGAGGGAGCAGCTACATAACTGAGGTAAAGCCCATAAATCCTTGTGGATTTACCTACATACCTGAGGTAAATCCACAAGGCACCTTGAGTTCAAACTATGAAGTGACTCCAAGCGAAATATAGCAGAAATTGGGACTTAAATGAGCTTAGAAATAATCTGCTTAGTTCATTTGAAATGTATTGTTACCCCCTTTCTAACCATGCATATTTTTGTGTCTTGTGAGGTCTCATATAGCAATAAAAATAGAAAAGTTATACAAGAGCAGTGACATGCATAGTTTGCTTGTGTTGTCACAACTTTGTACAATATTTCCAGCTTTATAATATGCAGTTATCAGTCACATTGGGCATCACACATGTATTTTTTTTTTCCTGCAGGAGGGAAGACACAGGAGGGAACTAGTGACTCATGTTTTTGCTTCTATCGCTTCACCCCTGGGGAATCAGTTCCTACACTCCTTGAATATAATGGTCACCAAGGGGTGCTGTCCTGACACGTTCACTTTCTGTTGAGAAGGTTAGAACAAACACCATGTGTGTCATTTAGTTGCATATATAATACTTCAATGTTAAGTCTGCATAAAGCCTGGAGTCTGTAGCCACTCTTAATCCTAGGTTGTCGTGACCTTAATCTAGCCTGGGTGGATATTTTGCTGTGCTAAAAGCACGGACTCCGCTACGCCCCAGTGCGGCGGCCGGGGCGCCTCCCCTGGAAGAAGACGGCGCCGGGGAGGGGATGGACACTGTTACACTTGCGGTTTTTTGTGTGGGGTAGCGTATACCCTTCTTACAGGTATTTACTATGGACAATGCATGCGGGTGACCTCCACTGCACGTGACACGTGTAAAACAGAGAGGTGTCATTTTTGTTGTAATGACAATAGTACGGTACAACTTGATTGTAATGACAATAACTACATTATAAAAAGGATGTAGGCACCCACCGGGCAATGTGTTTAAATGTGTCACGGTTGGGGTGCAACTGCACGTGCACATGTGCAGGGTGACGCTTCCAGATGTCGAGAACGGCCGGGCCGATTGTGCTCAGATTTGGCACATCGCTAGAGACCGGTTAGTAGGGTGCCGTGCGCAAGTGGGAACTGAAAATGTCTAAAATAGAGATGTTGCAGCTTGAAGGAAATGCAATCAAACTGTCAATCATACAGTGATACTGTTTTTTTTTTTACAGGAGACAAGATTGAAGTGCAGCCAACACTGCATGGTGCTTCTCACAAGAGCTGACCCATTGCTGTTTTTCAACTCTTCTGGAAAAGGTAATATTGGCAGATACTTACATTGTTTCACAATCTACGTTCTGGTATGGGTCTCCCCTCCGCGGACCATCTGGTGGGACCATCAACCGCTGGGACACGACCCAGCGGTTGTAGTGGTCTACTATTCATCTATAAATCTTAAAAAGTCCGCCGCCGTCGGGGTTACGCTTAAAAAGGCTTTATGCGGCGCCGTCGATTGACGCACGAGGGTGAAATTTTCACGGCTCGTGGGTCGCGTCATTCAACAGGTCGTATTAAATTTTGGGCACGATGCGGCCGGGGGTGCGCCCGTGGCGCGTGCTCATGTGCGCCATAGGGTTAGCATTAGAATCGGCAAAAACAGGCTGCGGCGGCGTGACGCCCAAAAACGGATATTGCGGCGCCGTCGATTGACGCACGAGGGTGAAATTCTCACGACTCGTGGGTCACGTAATTCAACAGGTCGTATTAGATTTTGGGCACGATTCGGCCGGGGGTGCGCCCGTGGCGCGTGCTCATGTGCGCCATAGGGTTAACATTAAAAACGGCAAAAACAGGCTATTGCTCCAGATGGTCCGACCACTACAACCCTATATGATGCACTCTTGGCTGCATCCCCACCCCACCCTTTCCCCTTACAGTATGAAGTATGAATAACAGTGATTTTTTACTGGAGCTGCAAAGCGTGCCTTTGAACCACCTTATGATATACTAGTATCTAAAGTATTTGTCCATCAGGATCAGTTATCTAATGGCAGTAGACTGTTGTCTTCACATACTTCATATCTATTTTGGCTACTGCATTGTGTTCTGTAAAAAAATATGGAAAACGTTTCGGATGTATTTTTTAGTGGAATGCTTCTTTACAGATCCCGAAAGAAGATAACAGCTTGTTTTCTTCACCGCCACCAGTCTACCTGCTCTCTGCACACTCGGCAGAGCGCGGCAGGGCACCCCACGGAGCTGCACTAGTCACATCCGGGCCCCACGCCGGTCGACGGCCGATGCGATGGAGGCACTACTCCGAGCTGGACTGGTGGCCGGCTCGGAGCTGGTGGATGTCGACCGCGGAGCGGCGATCTACTCCTTCCACCGGGGCCGGCAGCAGGAGCTCCAGATGTCCTTGTGCCACCCGTCCGGCCAGGCCTCCATCCACCTTGTAGAGGCGGAGCGGGAGACGGTGAAGCTCACGGCTCCGTTGGAACATGGCCGCTGGGAGGCCTGCGGCGCGGACGACGGATGCGGCAGTTGGTCAAGACACGGCAGCCTACTCGAGGTGCTTCTCGCCTGGAGGACGCAGGCGAATCGCGTTATCCGAGCTGTGCCTCGTCATGGTGCGATGAGCCTTAATAGACTAATGCATATTCTTCCTTTGGCTGTAATTCATTTGCTGCTGCCCGCTGGGCTAAGGAGTAACTCTGGGCGCCTACTTTGGGCAGACGCTCGTCCAGTGCCGCTCTTCGTTTGCCGCACATATCTTTATTTATTCTTTGTTACAATTCCGTCTTTGGTCATTTTTTTTTTTACCATGGGGGCACTTGAAAGTTTTGTTTTTAAATCTGTGGACATTGAACCTGGAATCGGTTTTTGTCGGATTTCGGTTTTGTTTTTGCACTGTGGAAATATCTCGTTCAATATTTTTTAAGATAGGGCGTGCATAAACTTTTAGTCTCATTACTCCTCTGTGCATCTAAATTCTAAAGTACTATAATGTGTATCTCAAGTGTTTGGTGCTGTACTGTTATTATTTATGGTTAATCCAGTGCTGATTTATGGTTAATCCAGTTTTTATTCGATTGAATCGTTGTGTGTAATGTGCATGACATCCGCGTACCGCCTGTAGCAGTGTTATATATTTTCATTTATGCTGGAAAATAATAACTTTCTTGTTCATTGGCTTTATTTGATGACAGAGACGTGCCAGATGACTAGGGCTGCGACTTGACTTGGTAGTTGTTAACGTTGCAAACTTCAACCATCAAGCATGATGTGGAAACGTCACATTCCGTTATCAAATCTTCGTACCGTAAATACTGAATAAGATCAATACTAGGCTGGAGCTTGCTAGAAAAACCGTGCATTGACAACGGCGAGTGGTGGACCTGAGTAGCGGCCGGGGCTACCCGGACGGTTTCGTCCTCCAGGTGGAGTCCCAGACTGGTGACTGGGAGGGCTTGCACCCAGGCGGCGGTGTGGGGCTCTGCGGCAGCAAGAAGACGCACCCGGACCACCTGGTTTGCCCCATCCAGCAGACACTGCTGAGACGTCTTAGAGAACGCCTCATCCCAAGCGCGCTGCTTGCCCTCTTCTGACCATTAGTTATACCACGGATCACCTTATGTGACACCTTATAGGCCCGGGCAGTATGTGATCTGTGGTTATACCCAAGTCTATGTTAACTTATTTTTTATGCGTATTCATACCTATGCTCATTTTATTTGCCGCATACGCTAGAGCAATCTTAGCATAGAAATGAGTATTGTATAAATTGTATTATACCTATAATGGGTATGAAAAATTTTCTAGCCTGAATCTTCAATGCAAAGCAATGTCAAGAGTATTACATAAATAAGAGTTTTACGCTTAGGCCAAAACTTTTGTTTTTTGCTTATTTCTGTTTATTAAATAAAATCAATTTTTTAAAAAAATATATGTTAACATATTCAGCTACATTTTGTCTAAAAATTGTTTAAAGATATCAATAAACCACGATGGCACAACGGAGTTCTATAGCCTTGGGCACAACTCAAACACCAAGCAGAAACTGTCACGTGACTGCCTGGCCCAACCTTATCTTTAGGGTAGGAATCTATAGGAATCTTGTCGGGACGTCGGGACCCTTGACGGATCCGGCTGTTGATTGAGGTGTCAGTTGTGATAGAAGTGATCAGATATTATTTCGAAAAATTCGTCATAAATTGTTGCTGTCTAATGGTTTGCTAGAAGAGACTTGAAGACTCGGGAAAGAACAGACACGGTGAGTTTGACGCTGCACTGCCACGCTCGACCATCTTCGTCGGCTCGACTAACTTGTTTAGCGTCTGTTAACTTTTTCGAAAGGTAGTTAGGCAAGAAACATGAATTTCGCAAAAATCGTCCTTATTGATAGTCAAATGGTCACTCTGTTTTGCAACAAATGACTCCGAGGATAACAGATTCTTATATGCTCCGAAAAATGCGCATCTGAGACAAACGCGAGTTGTTTACAGCTTTGATTCACGTTGCTAGGTGGTTGCTATGGAGCTATGGATACTTCCTTGCAGAGTAATTTGCATTTTGGTGTCTTATGTGATATCGACATATGCCACCCCTAATAGCTCAATTAATGCTGATAACAGTCCGGCGCACTGTGGTATCTCCGATTCATTTATGGAGACATTTCTTTTATTGGAAACGTTTCCAATTTTGACTACTCTTCTGTTCCAAAAATGAAAACGCTTGCTCCATAAATAGAAACACTAACATTTCCGCACAAATTTTCTTGCCAAGGGTGGCTGGATTTGATGTAGGTATAACCACTGTTTTGCGTAAAACAAGCACGGATACACCAAAAGCACTTGTCTTCTTGCATGGAAAGCTGTCGTATGCATTCAAAGTCACCACCTAAAAATGCTCCTGAATCGTATCCATTTATGGAGACTTAGTTTCCAAAAATGGGAACGCTGACGTTCCAAAAATAGAAACGCTGAAGTTCAAATGTGTGCAAATTTAGCTTAAAGGAACTATCCCACCTTCTAAAATGTTGTTAAAACCAGTTAAATTGTGGTCGACTTTATAGATTGGATGATATGTGACGTCACAGCCCAAAATTACCTCCTTCCCCAGGTCACATTACTGTCATAAAGCTGATTCTTTTTACTCTGTAGGCACTACAACAAAGTTCAGACCAAGTTTTAAGTGATTTTTTTAACTAACAAACCCATTTAAATCAGAATGACTAAACGAGGTGACGTCACACTAACGGTCGCTCCATGTTGAAGATAGGGCCTGGCGCAAGGCCCATTTTCAAATGAAGGGAACAAATTTCTTCAACACCAAGAGGCCGCGGGGGTTGCAACCTAGATAGATAGTGGTTTCTGAACCTCGCCGCAAACTTGGCTATCTCAACTCAAACCCCATGTTAAAGGTGGGATAGTCCCTTTAAATGTGTTTTTTAAAATTCACATGCAACTAAAAATTGATGTTTTGGGACTGGTTTAGCATCTCGGCTCTCGGCAGTTACCTTGGACGTCGGGTTTGATACTAATATATTACGCGCCGCAACTTAGCACATTCAAAAGTCAACTAAAACTAAGATTTCCTAGAAACTACTGGACAAATGTGGTCCAAAGTGGGCAGTACATAAAGTGTAGATATCATTTCAATATATAAAATTGATATCAATGTTACACATGAGCTAGAATGAATAAATTCATCGTCAGAATACGACGGTATTTGGTGGGACGACGGTGCAGACCTTATTTGATTAGAAAACTTGTGAATTTTTTTATCACGTCAACATGTTATAAGCATCGCCTCGTTTGTCGACTTTCGGTTTCTGATCGGAAATTCGGAGAAGAGGAATATAAACTAGAATGCTGGCTGTCGATTGGTGGCATCCTGCGCATGCCAAATTGCAGCAATCAATGCCCAGTTTGCTTTCAAGGTAGCGATGCACGCAGCGTCTCCATTAATGGAACAGACCGTTTCTATTTTTGGAAACGGCGTATCCATTTTTGGAACATTGTTCCAAAAATGGAAGCGTTTCCATAAGTGGATCGGAAATACTACAGTGTGCCCGACTGATAATATTGTTGATTTGTTGAAGAGGATGCTGAAATGTATGAATAGAGCTCTGCAATCCTTGTTTTAATTAGTTAAGCGGTAAGCTACATAGAGTGACATTCAAAAGTGGGTCAAAAATCTTGTCGGACGTTTTTTACCTTCAACCTTGGGCGTTGTTGGCCACACCTGCTAGTCTTTTATTGCAGGTGAATAAAACCGCAATCAAATTTACATAAATCAAAATTACAGCTTATGGTGCTGCAGTGTACCTGAACGAACTTTCAAAACTGGGTGAAAACAGAAAAATGTAGGTGGTGACCCATGACAGTCTTCGAGTTATTCTCGATTTTGTAGAAAAAAAAATACTTGCCACGCAATGACAAGAGGGCTTTATATTAGGCCTGTTCCAGCGCCTCCAGAAACCTCCAGAAACCTCCAGAAAGCTCTAGAATCCTCCAGAGAGCGTTCCGGCGCCTCCAGAAAGCTCCAGAAAGCTCTTGCCAAAGCTCCAGAAACCTCCAGTAGCCTCCAGAGAGTTGGGAGGTCCAAATTTCTCTGGAGGCTCTGGTCTACAATTATGGCGCACATGTGACAATCACGAATGTAAACAATGAACTTTTGACTGAGAATTTTACAACTTGAATGTAAAGAAAATTACATGGCTATAATTTTGTTAATCTTTTTTACTAAAATTGAAAACAAATTTTGCGTTTCAAGATAGAACAATCGTCATTCTTTTGGTATCTATTACACCGATCTCCAGAAATCTCCAGATTGCGTTCCAGCGCCTCCAGTAAAACCTCTGGTAGAGCCTCCAGTCAAGAATTTCTACTGGAGGCGCTGGAACAGGCCCATTGTTTAATGTGTATGCAATACGCAACCGAAGTCGTGACGTCACGATAAGTGGCTGGGGCATAATCAGCTGACGGCCCCGTGCTAAAGCAATAGGGCAATATTTTGCCGATCTTTCCCAAGAAAACTGGACCTAGTTAGATAGTTTTAGTAGCTGAATTTAGGACAACGATGTATGATCTATTTTTCTATGAAAAAATATTGCAAAATCTAACAACGCAAAGCACAAAATTTCGTGAAAACCTAATTGGCGGCGAAGTTGACGCAGAAATATAAAACATTTTAGATCAAGAGGTTTAAAATAATGGATTTAAAATAAAAAAGATTTTCAAAATAACTTATATGGTGAATTTTCTCCTTTGCTTTTTACAAATAAAAATATTTATCCAGCTCAAACTCAAATATGTCAAACCTTACGCATCAAAATCCTCCCGACGCGGTCACAGTTCGCATCTCAAGGTCATGTATTTGGTGCGTCAAGTTCGCCGCCCGTAACAATTTCGCGAAATTCGGTCCTTTCCGCTTTGAAACGTAGCATTTTTTGGGCGTAGAAAAATAGAATATACTCAGTTTACCTAGAAACTGGCCCCCAAACTATCTAACTAGGTCCAGTTTGTTCTAAAAATGCTGATAAAATTTCATCCCATTGCTTTAACACAGGGCCATCAGCTGATTATGCCCCAGCCACTAGTCATGACGTCACACTTCGGTTGCGTATAGGTACATTAATTCGAGCCAGCAGGGAAGGGGGATGTTTTTGCCCACAAATGTCAGTTGTTTTCTTCTTATGTGTAACAAAAACCATGGCACGCAGTAGGAGATAATTGAAATGCTATTCTTTTAACCGAAAACACCCTCAAGCATTGTGGTTTTACTTTAAGGTTTCGGGATTTTTAGCCATAATGGCCTGTGGTACCCGATCTTATCGAGCTCCTGGGATTGTGGCTTTACGAGATCAATCAGGATCAGGTACGGAGTATATGATGTGGGACCAGTGTGCGTCCAGTCTTGCCTTGAAGCAGTTCAGCGAGGGTGCACCAACCACCTCGGAGGGGAGTCCATTCCAGTCGTTCACGACTCGGGCGGCAAAGGCCTCACCCTCGAGGCTGCTGGAAACTTCTGGATTTTAAACTGATGTCCCCGAGTAACTCCTGCAGCCAGAGCGAAGAATGACGTGGGGTCGGTCGGCATCGACCCCTCTGTGAAATAGTTGGTATGTGAAGATCATATCACCTCTCAGTCGTCTATAATGCAGTGATGGCATCTTCAGTTCTTTG